AAAGACTCATAAATGTAGATTGCAGTCCAGGTTCCCTGTTTTTAATTGAAGCATCATTTTTTCCATTTCCAGTCTCCTTCCATGGAGCTGGACGCCACTTCATGTCCTTTTCCTCACATCTGCCGAGCTTTTATTTTTAAGTAGTAATTCTGCACTTCGGAAACTTGTTCAGACTTTTATAGGTAAGTGGAAGTTTACGGCCCCAATGATTCAGAACGGTGGGAGAGGAAACTCCTACCAGGTCACTTGTGGACCATTCTGTCCAATTATGAGGCTGCATGTAAAGAATGAGGTCAAAGGAAAACGGCTGACGTTGAGAGTGTGGCTCCTACTTTCAGATTATCAAAGCCAAATCAAAAAGTTAGAAGAAATGAATGACTACCCAGTTGGTGGCTGGGTCTGGGCAGTTATGCCTCACGGACTCGTCGGGCCCACTCTCTTTTCCTCAAGGGCCCGGAAGCGTTGCTTTCGGGAGGCGTTGTTTGTGAAACCTCTCATCGCCTCCAGGACGGGCTCCTGTCAGTCACGCTTAGCTCCGCCTCCAGGCCGAGCCCCGCCCAGGGGCTTCCCCCCACCCCTCACTGGAGAGTTCCTTTTAAATACGACTGGAGTCTGAACGCACGTCTTACGTGCTCGTCCCCACGCCCTCGGGCGGTCGGTTCTTCCTTTTCTAATTGGTAGAAACCCCAGTCCATCAGTGCTGACGTGCGAGGTCGCCCGTCGAGGGCCCGCCCTCTTCCGAGATTTCTGAAAACAATTTTAAGATGGCGGCGGCGGCAGCAGCGCGGAAAACAATGGGGCCGGGGCGGCGGGGACAGGCCGAGGCCTGAACCGGGCAGCGAGTGCCGGCTGGGGGTCGGGCCGAGCGGGGCAGGAGAAAGACCCGCCACCGCTCCACAACCTGCAGGGGCATGGCGCAGCCGTGAGGCGGACTAGGACCGCCGCGGGGAGCGGAGCCCGCAGTGCCAGCCGGCCCCGAGAGGCCCGGCCCGTGAAGCCCACGGCCCATGGTGCTGCCCACCTGCCCTATGGCGGAGTTCGCGCTTCCGCGGCACAGCGCGGTCATGGAGCGCCTCCGCCGGCGCATCGAGCTATGCCGGCGCCACCACAGCACCTGTGAGGCCCGCTATGAGGCCGTATCACCCGAGCGCCTGGAGCTGGAGCGCCAGCACACCTTCGCCCTGCACCAGCGCTGCATCCAGGCCAAGGCTAAGCGCACCGGCAAGCACCGGCAGCCGCCTGCTGCGGCCCCGGCCCCAACGTCCGCCGCGCCCGCCCCTGCTCCGCGCCTCGACGCCGCGGACGGCTCGGAGCTCGGCCGTCCAGTCGCGGTGAGTAAGTCGCGGAGGCAGCACCTTCGCCCGAAAACCGTCCCCTTAACGCGGCTTAGGCCCCTGGGGAACTTGCTTGTGCGCCTGCAACTCCTGGGTCTGGCTCGAGGGAGGGTAACATGGCAGGGAACTGAGGTGTTGTCATCTTCGGGAAATGGCACTGTGGCATTACTTTGGGAAGACATTATCGCGGAGACTGCTTGAGTTCCGGCGTGGGAAGGCCAGCAAACGCTAACCGAAAGGTTTTTCTCTCATACTTAACTCTGAAAGTTTGAGAACTTTAGTTCAGAACACACTAGCGTTCGAGTTGCTTGTGATGCAGGGAGTTTTTGCACTGTAGGCCTAGCTTCATTCTGCAAATGTTTATTGGGTCTTTGTGCTGTACGCTAGGTCAGGGCTTTAATATGGAAGTAAGTCAACTTTCAATTGACCAAATGAAACTGTTCTGAATGAAAAAAAATTTTTTAAGTCTTTGAAAAATTTATGCACAGTACTTCTCAGTGAGCTACATAAAAGTATTCCTTGCTTAGGCAGCCTGAAATTTGTGAACCTGAGATTTCCTGCAATATTGTTGACAGTTCCACTTGTAATATGAGGCCTGTTTAAAGTCTCTAATATTAGATTGTTGGTAAATTATTATGCCTGTTGGGTTCTCAGGTATTTGTGAAGTTGACTGGTTAGGTTTTTCTCCCTAAAACTGATACTGAAAAGGGAGACAAGAATTTTTGTGTGGTTTTCTTGGTAATTTTAGTTTAAACAAATGCTACGATCTGGTTTGTTAAGTGTATTTGTAATTCTTTCCTTTGGTGTCTGTTGTAACTAAGGAGCCTTTAGGCATTTATTCTTTCTCTTCTTATCTAAGTGATAGAAGCCCTTCTGTTGCTTTGAAGCGAGAACATCTGACCTAATCCATCTTTTCATGCCACAGATCTCTACTCTGGTTGAGTTATTTTCCTCATTCTCTACTAGCCTAGCCTGTGCTGTTGTACTAGAAGACAGAATCCTTGGGCTCAAACCCAGGTTTCGTTGTTTATTGTATCGATTGGTCAAGTCAATCACATCCTCACTTTTCTCACCTGTAAACTGGGAGTATGCTGGGCTTATCCCCCAGGTTTCTTGTAGGATTCAAAAGAAATGAGTATGGATGTAAAAAATACAGTCAATATTCTTGAAAGGCTTGCCTGCAAGACCCTCCTCAGCACCTTTCAGAATCTTGCCATCCCACCGGTCCCAGCTCATCTACACGCTTTTCTTTAGAGCTAGCTTCTGACTGCCCTAGCCCACAGCAATCAGAATCTCCTTTGTGAAAACATTTAGTAAACACGTTGTCTATGCTATTTACTTTTAGCACATAGTCACATATTACTTTAGGTTACATTTTTCCAACTAGACCAGTGGTTCTCAACCTTCCTAATGCCATGGCCCTTTAATCCAGTCCCAGTGGGTCGCAGCCCACTGGTTGAGAACCACTGAACTAGACTTAGCTCTTGGAAGTAGGAGCTTGGGCTCAGAGTCCTGCACATACTTGTCTGAGGCCCTCAGTGCATGTTTGTTGAGTGTTTGATAAAAACTTGGTAGTGCTTTACTCAGTCATCTATCTTCCTGTGCACTAACCTCAAAAAGGTAAATGGCTTAACTTCATGAACAGCCTTTACTAACAACAAATGTTTTCAGGAAAGACTTCAATTACAATTGAAGTAAATAATGAAAGCTCACGAAAGTCACAGTTTTACACACAAATAGCAGCCATCAACACCTCTTAGAAAGTATTTAATTTCTGTTTAAAGTTATTTTAAGAGTTTAGACCCTATATGATTTTTTAGAAGTCCTGAATCACTACAGAGAAATTAGGTGTGTTATAGAAAGAGAAATTATTATTATTATTATTATTGAGACAGAGCCTCAAGCTGTCCCCCTGGGTAGGGTGCCGTGGCACTACAGCTCACAGCAACCTCCAACTCCTGGGCTCAAGCGAGTCTCCTGCCTCCACCTCCCAAGTAGCTGGGACCACAGGCGCCCGCCACGATTCCTGGCTATTTTTTTTGGTTGTAGTCATCATTGTTGGGGGGCCTGGGCTGGAGTCGAACCCGCCACCTTAGGTGTATGTGGCTGGTGCCTTAGCCACTTGAGCCACAGGCGCTGAGCCGGGGAAGAGAAATTAATTGAGTGTACTATTAGAACTTGAATGTGGCTTGTCAGTTGTTACCTTGGTGTCCAGGTGTACCATGTTACAATGATAGACAGCATATTAAACTTTGACCTCTCTGTTTCCTGATTTTAAACTTTACAGTGGAAGTACTCTTCTGTTGTCTGCTAGGGATAGGAACCCTTTTCACTTCAGGCTTCAAGTGATTTTTAGTTGAGCTCTTTGGTCGTAGGAACAGAAAATAAGCATCACTGTGAAAACAGTGGCATTTTCTGTTTTAGTGGCTCCTTCTGTTTAGAGGGGGAGAGAGTAAGATTTTGGCTTAAAGCACAGCTTTGCACACAAGATGACAAAGGTGCCTTGTAGTTCTTATTTTTGGCAACTCTGTATATGTATTTGATCTCTTTAATATTCCTTACATGAAGACTATTATTTTTTTTTTCAAAGTGTGCTGTAGTACAGTTAGGTGGTCATTTCATAGCCAACATTATTTAATCAGCAAGCCACTTACACATCTGAAAAGGAGTCAGATTTACTAATAGAGTTTAGCTTAATTTCAGGTTATTGTTCTTTTTCTTCTTAGAATATTCTACCACAGCAAAGTCTTCACCGTTATCTGTGTAGTCTGTTAAGAGTTGAATCAGGAACAGTGTTTCAGGCTTTTTTCTATTCTAGTTTTCGAAGAATGAGCCTATTAGGTTTTCTTTATATTTTCTGTGTTCTTCAAAAACAAATAGTAGTACTAAGTTTTTATTAGGAATTCTGGGTTAGGGAGAACTATCCACCAACTTTACACAAACATTCGTTCTGTAAGTGAAAGTGCTGTAGTCCTTTACAATAGGTTGAACATTTTCTTCCTATAATAAAATGGTACAAAGTTTCATTCCCAGGCCCTTTAAAAAAAAAAATATATATATATATATATATATATGACACAGGTAGCGTGCATAGAAAGCAAAAGTAATCTATGCAAGTTTCAAGGTAACAAATTTTATTTAAGAAGAACAAAGAGAAACTTGAGAGCATTTCCAAAGAGAGTTCAAAGTGGGTCACTCTCATGGAGGAGAAAAGGTGAGAGAGACCTGTTCCTTTTATCAACTGTTGTTATGCTTTTGCTGCTAAGCTGTGAGGAATTTATTCCTCAGTGGTTGGTTGTTATAGTTGACAAAGAGATTTGATAGATGCCTACAGGCCATTCATCTTGAAGGTTTGTTTTCCTACTTGATTTTAGGTGTGTGAAATTTCTCTGTCTCTCTTTAAAACTTTTCTTTGTAAATAACTTTGATTATAGAGGAAAGCTACATAAATAGTACAAAGAACATCTGCATACTCTTTATCTAGATCTGCCCATTGTCACTGTTGAGCTGTATTTGTTTTATCTCTGATTACCACACACACACACCCTCTCAGCCTTTGTTTTCTCTCAGGCTTGTTCTTTGACCCTCCTGAGGATACATTGCACACTTCATGGCTTTCTATCCTTAAACACCCCGTGTGTACATTTTAAGAGTTAAGGAGGGTGTACAGAATTTTAATCATTTTGTAGACAAAACTCATTTAAGAATTATGCAAATGACAGATTATTTCCAGTGAGAAGATATTTCTAAATGTAAAACAGGTATTGTACTGTAATCATGTGGGATAGTTTTGTTGATTCTTGTTTTGTTTTTTTTTTTTGAGACCGAGTCTTACTATGTTGCCCATGGTAGAGTGCTGTGTCATCACAGCTTATAGGAACCTCAAACTCTTGGGCTTAAGCAATTATCTTGCCTCAGCCTCCCAAGTAGCTGGGACTGTAGGTGCCTGCCACAATGCCCAGCTTTTTTTTTTTTTTTTTGAGACAGAGACTCAAGCTGTTGCCCTGGGTAGAGTGCCATGGCATCACAGCTCACAGCAACCTCCAACTCCTGGACTCAAGCGATTCTCCTACTTCCACCTCCCAAGTAGCTG